GCCTGTAAATCCATATGTCAAATTCCTACACCCAACACTATTATTTGTAAAGCAGGCTACTTTATCACAACAGTCTCTATCCATCAGGACTTGGACTGTTAATCATTTTGTGGCAGCATTTGATAAAGTCAGATGAGCTTGGCACAATGGATTTAAAAAAAAAAAAGAGCTACAAAACCTATTGCTTATTTTATGGAAAGAGTCATAAAAACACAGAGGGATTAGAATCTGGAGCAGTCTGAATTCATAATTTTATCGGCATCAGTCAAGCTTGTCTCCAATTGACAACAGAAATTGAAAGAATGCCCTGTTCTGACCTAGCTTCTTGACTCATTTATAAGATAAAGTGAGAAGAAAATTATAGCAGTGCTTTGAGTCGACGCTCCCATTATAAACACCTAATTTTAGGGGTTTAGAGCACTGACATTTCGGACTGGAATCTGACGTGCGAGTCTCAAACCAAAAAGGGTTTTTTTCTAACTATTTACGTTAGCTAAAAATAATGGCGATGGCCAGCTTCAGATACACAAATGTTAAGTAAAAGGTTTGAGATGCATTCTTGCCGTCACAAAATAAAATGGAAGCATCCGTTTGAAGAAATGCCTGCAAATCTACTTGGATTTGAACCGGTGCTTTTATCACACTGGACTGTGAGGGATTCCCCAGGTGCTCACAGCGAGGCTTAATGGTGGAGCATGTCAGTCATGTTTGCTGCCTCTCATAGCCAAGTTTAGTCCTGGCCTCTTCTGGCGTCTTCTAAAAGATTTGCTTTTGTGTTAAAATGGCCAAAGAATCTCTTTCAATCCAGCTGCTTCCCCCCACTTCCCTCCCAGTCTCTCATCAGGTGTTCGCTGGTTGTAAATCAAAATGCAAGTCAGCTTATAGATGACTCCAAAAAACAGAGTAGCGGTATGTCACAAAGGAGGACAGAACCCAACTACAAGGAGACATCACTGAAGTTGCAGGCAGCCAGCAGGATTCAGCCTTTGTGAGCTTCAAGCTCTCTTAACAGTGAGAGGACTGTACTCAGATAATAAAAGGGAAAAGACAGAAGAGGAGAGAACAACCACACCCATTGCATTAAATCAAACCTGCCTCCTTAACACTGCCCTAAAATTATAGCAGTGGGGTAGACATGGTTGGGAGGGCAAGTGACACCATCGCTCTCTCCCCATCTCCTACAGCCTACTACACAAAGAGGTTAGCAGCCAAATGATTTAAAAATCGGCACGTTCAGCAAATGCTTCATGTCACCGAGGAGGTGGCTGTGGAAAATTAGCCAAGCTATGCATGTTTAAAAGTCTGCCACTGCTCATTTCCAGTAGCCTTTTTTAACAAAACAAATTAGCAGCAAGTTTCAGCATGACCAGCCTACTGTGCTGCAAGCAGATTCATACAGGAGGTGGCAATCTGTTGGGTCAAGAACAAACAAAACTAAAATCCACTTTAAAAAAAAAGGGAGAAGTGTAAATCTGCTCTTGTATTATGGACCTCAATCTCTCGAAGGAGCTATGCAGAGTTGTTTCCAGCCATCAGGTATACAGCTTGCATTTCCGAAGTTTCCCAAACCGAATGGTATATTTATTAAACTGATAGGAACAGCTGCGGCAGCAGCGCAAGTTTTAAAAGCCCCAAATATGATTATGTAATGGACCATAAAGGGCCGTGAATGAGAAGTGCAAGACCCATAACCCTAGTAATGAATAACACACGTACACGACACCAAAATTTCAAAGCTTTCCGCAAACTTTAATCGATTAACTCACAGCACCCCCTGAGAAGCAGGCATGTAAACTGTCATGCACCACACTGCTTTTCTGGCCATCATTATAGCCATGTCTACAATGGCGTGTTACATGGATCTTGTTGGTTTGCTCTAAGTAAAGCTATTTAACAACATCAGACTGAAAAAGCTCACACCTCCCTGGTATCCCAGCTTAAAGGTACATCTTGTATTAATTGCTCCATGTACATAGTTTCGCGCTTACTCAAATTAACTGCTTGGTATTCTGGACAAATATCTCGTGGTGCAATGTTTTACCACTTAAGTCCATGATTTACTCACAGTGCAACGCAGACTAGTTTAATGGACACTACGGCATTCTGGGACTGGGATCAGGCAGCAACCTGCACAATTCCTTTCCTGGCATCCGTTAATTTTTCCGACACCATTTTCAAGCTGTTGTCAAGCACTCCTGAGATCTCTGACTGTTACAGTCATTCATACAAGAAGAATTATAAGCATGGTGCAGGCACGTGGATCTGGC